AGAAAACCCATTGATTTTGTTACATCATACAAACTGGAATGAGGTTTGGAAGGGAAGTTTGAGGTTTTAACCTGAAATGTTTGTTGAAGGTTCAAGTTTAATTTTCATGTAAATTGTAATTTAGTGGTCCTGTGTTTTAAATACAGAACTGCCTGTTCACAAATGTCATAACTGTAGATAAATATTAGTTGAAGAAATTGACTTGTTATTAAGGAATGAATACAGAAATATGCTGCTTTTTTTTTTTTTTTTGTCATTATTCCCAGCTCATGGTAACTACATGAAAAATAGGAAGTACCCCACTTTCTATGCTTCCAATTATTCCATATTAAAACCAAAAATCACAAAATAATCAGGGAAAGGTCTAAAAAACTGAAAATAAGTAAGCTCTTTTATAGTGGTACTCACTGAATATGCAGCAGCTAACACACAGAAGATGCTGATTTACCTTAACCATTAGTGACAGATGCTTGACCCTAACTAGTCAGGGTGAAGCCTGTTGACCAAATGAGAGACTAAAAGAGGATGTAGTGAAGATTAAATATTGAAGTAAAACAATTTTTATGTTCAGAAGATGAGTGCTTGCTCCTCTCTAGTGGTSATTCCCACCTGAAATACTGACTAGGATTTGTTTTGTTTATTTCATGAGATCTGACAAGATCATGACCTGATGGTTGCATAAAACAGGCTAAGGATTTTTATTTGTCGTCAAGCCCAAGAGTGAGAAGATAAGAGATCCAGGCCTAAAGTCAAATGGAGTTTATCTCACAAGACATCAAAGTGTGGTGCTCAGGCCCTCAGAAAGGACTTAAAATGCATTAAAAGTGTCAATGGAAGTTTGGAAAAATAGGGAGAAAAAGAAGAGTGCCTACTCTTTTTTTTTTGCCTGCTTTTTAAATGTGTATACAAATGTGTATAGAAAAGAGAAACAGGCAAATATAACCTTGTTCTATTAGCAGAGAAAGAGCCATCTCTGTGTTTCAGCCTGAATATTTTGACCTTATCTCCATTGCCCATGCTGTTTCAGCCTTGTTTTCCCAGCACCCACTCTCTGGGAAAGTAAAACCCTTTGTAAAACTCAAACAAAAAATGGTGAAAGAAATCCCCAAACTCCTGACCTTCTGCTCTGTACATTAGCAAATGAACTTCTAATACTGGACTGGTTTTCAACTCTGAAAAGTTGTTTTCCAGGTTTGAAAGTGAAATGCTGAGATACAAATAAAAGAAATTACAAACCTTTTGCTGTTATTTTGATCTTTTAAAGATTTTGGGTTGGTTTTTTTTTTTCAGGGAGCTTAAGCTTCATTAGATTTTTATAGCTTCAGAAGTGACTTCTGAGTATTCTTGAGAACAAGAATTAACTTCTGTCTGTGGGCTGCCTTGGGAAGGGAAGAAATTCAGAGTAAAACTGGGGGGAAGATACTTGCAACAAATTTGCCTTGATRTAGCCTGTTCAAGTACATGATGTGGATAAAGACATGAGGTGGGACTCACTTTTAAAGTCATTGTTTGGTATCAGGTTTTCAGCTAAGTAAGGATAAATCCCTGAGTTTTATGTTTTTAASAATGCAAGTGAGCAGCAAARCAACCACTCAGCYATGTTTTCACTGAGTMGAAGTTGACAGAACATCAAAATTTRTACAATTTCAAGGCTTAATACTAAGCAGAAATTGCAGGAACATTCAACTGCAAAAATAAAAAGGATGCTCCTCCAGCAGAGAATTKCCGGGTTCATACCAATCCTTAAGAAAACTGCTTCCCTTAAAATATTTTACAGTTTTTAGAGAAATGTCTATTGAAGCTGTCATGCAAATAATATTATGATCAAAAGTATCTGAATACATGTAATATAATTGAAAAAGGCATACAAGGTATTCCCTCCCAAAGTAGCTGATAGCTGTTTTCCAGAAAGGTAGTCTGTAAGTAATGTAATTTATTTAGGCTCTCCAGAAAAATACTTGATTTTTCAAAATTGAGAAAAATTTGTAAGGAAAATTAATCTAAACATTCAAATGCATTAAAAGTGCAAAAAAGAAATAAGTTTCTAACGTAAAAAAAAAAAAGTTTTAGTAGCTCAAAATACTTGAAGAAAACTGAAAAGAAAGCAACTTGAGCTGAAAGCTTTGCTTTTGAGACATGTCAGGAATTAGAGTATTTTTTAAGCAAATTGAACAGAATAAATGAAATTATATACCAAAGGAAGAAGAGAAAAGGGGAGTAGATTACAAGTTTTAYGTTACTGCAGTTATGAAGGACAGAAATGTTATTCAGGTAAGTTATGAGCACAGAAATCTTTGGTCAGAGAGAACAAAGCAGACTCTTAAGTCTATATGGAAAAATGTCCTGGTAGTAATTTGGATGTATTAACTGCTGGAAGGCCTAATATTGTAATGACAAGTAAGGATGAAACCACATCTTCCTTATTCACCCACCTGCTGATTTTGTCAGAGAATTCAAATTGTTTTGTGTGTTGTGGCTTCCGTCTCTTATTGTGATGCTAAATAATTTTCCTTGGAATATATAAACAAACTCACATCTATAATTTCTTGGTTTATGCAGGACTGATGTCTAAAAATTGGCAACACATTCTCTGCCTTTTCATCTCTTTACATCCAAAGTTAACTTAAGCAAGGAGTCACATGCTGGTTTTGCAACACAATTTAATGCATGAGGTCCTTTTTAATTCACAGCCTTGAWGAATTGTAGAYTGGTTTGGGTTGGAGGGGATGTTAAAGTTGGTCATGTTCCACYCTGCTGCCATGGACAGGAGCACCTTTCATTAAACCACAATTTTTGGGCACACACTTTCTTGCAAAGGTGATTTGTTACTTTCTTCTAAGTCAATCTGCTCTGAATTTTTTTCTGCTGAAGCCTCAATTTGGAAGAGTYTCTCTGACCATTCCCCTCCAAACAAGCTCTAGAGTTTAGAAAGTCCCTGAACTCCACWGTAATGAACGCAACTGCAATGAATTAATTTAGATTTTCTTCTGCAGTCTTATCTTCCTTGAGCATTTCTTTTCCACCTGATCATCTATCAACCTTTCTGAGTTTTTCAGGCTACCAGTTTCAGAGGTGTAAGAAAAGGTTGTGCTGCTGCTTTTTAAAATCCTTAGCAAGTTGTCACTCGAGGGTGGAGTTTTTTTTGGTATGAGTGTTCTTGGAGGTTTGAGGAGAGAGTGGCAGCCTTGTTAATTTTCTCTTTAAATAGCAGCTTATGCTCTTTTCTGTTTTCCTTAACTGCACAGAACATTAATTTGTGAATATATTGCTGTGCTTTAATAAATCTCTTTGTTCTGCAGTTTAATCACATATCCTGGGAAAATTGAACTTTACTGTTGGCATTTTCCTCTTTTGTTTCCTACTTGACTATAAGAGCTTTTCCTACAGTTTGACTGCCATCTTGAAGGATCTTGATGTCCCAAGACAGGGGTACCCTTTTTTTTTTTTTTTTTTTTTTTTTTTTTTTTTTTTTTTTTTTTTTTTTTTTTTTTTTTTTTTTTTTTTTTTTTTTTGTCTTTAGTTAAGAACTTTTATTTCAACTTCCAAGGTAGTATGTTCTGTTTTGGTGTAAGGTAATCCTCCCTTGCGCAAGTTACCTCTTTTCTGTGTGCTATTATTTTACTTTTTGTAATTGATAAAACTCAGGGTCATGCACATGCCAGAATGCTTTAATGGACATTCAGAAGATGCCTTTAACTCAGTGAGGCTGATTTTTATGGATTGTAAGATACTGAGGCTGTTCCAGACACTGTAAGGCTGGAATTCTGGTATTAAAACCCAATAAATTGTATTTACATCAAATTAGCCCAGGGTAGGTTAATATAGGATGTGTTGGGTGAAAATTTTAAGGAAATAATGCAAATAAAGCCAGTCAGAGAAGTTTTATTAGAAACTGGATTTAGAAATAAAGTCATATATGCAGAATAAGGAACTGCAACAAAGAAAGTGGTGACTCTGAGAAGAGCTGGGGAGAAAACACAGCAGAARAACAAACCAGTAGGGGCTCCCAAGACTAATGCAGTGGTAAAGCAGGARTGCTAATAGAGCTCTCTGGTGTATRATTCAGGAAAGCTTGAGTAGGAGGATTAAGGCTATTTTGAGCTCATACAATAARCTGACAAACAGGAATAGTGCAAGTAGCTCTTGGGTATGCATTATTAAAAGGTGCTGAACAACTCTTAATACACRCAAAAAACTTACCACATGAAATATTTGTGTTGTGAAGATGAAGCTTTATGGTAGAGATTTCAGGCTTAATTTGTTTMATCTACCTGAACGGGATTGATGAGATAATTTTGTTAACATTCACAATTACGTTCTAAAACCAGGAAAATRCTGGATATGTAATACCAGGTCTCTTAAATCTGTCAGATAAAGTCATTACAAAATCTYTTGTCTTGGCAGTGAAGTGAATTAATGGAAATCAGAAGTTAGACTTGTATTTAAATGTCTCCCAATGCCAGTAGTTAGCCACCAGAACAATTGCCAGTGGATATCTTCCAATCAAGACCCAACTTCTATCTGGAGGATCTGTTTTAGCAAAGCAGATTGCTTGACTGAAATTGCACAGCAACAATCCTCTGTAACTGATCAGAATTTCTCTGATACATAAAAGGTTGTATGAAAGAAACTAATTTTGGTTTGCTGATATAATGTCAAATTATAAAAGTACTGTCAGTTTGCTGTTAAGTTTTACGTACAAATCAATGATATTTAAAATCCAGAAACAATGTGATAGGAAAGTAATTTGCCAAAGTGCTATTTCCATTCAATTTGTGTATATATTGATTTTGTTACTATTTTRAATCCAGACAAGAAGGGATTAGATAATGCAGTTTGTAGGCAGTGATTAAATCAGTTCATGATACGTTTTGTCTCAGTATGAACAATGACTGGCATTTCTGCCAAAAGTTCAAAGTTCTCATTGATTTGAAGGCTGCTAGGATTGATTACCTCATGGGATAATTTGTAAGGTGTTTTGTTCTTTTTTACATAGGAAGAAGTACTTCAACTTGCAAAGTGTGGTTCTCCTTAAAGATTTACTGCACACCTGCAGCAGCGGAAAAGACGATAGATGTGAAGTGCAGAGCTCTGGTAGGATTRCTCTAAATGTTTAATTTTGTTCTGCTGCATTAGAAGAAAAATTTAATTTTTATTGTTGTTCTGGCTGCTATCACAGACGATTAATCAATTTTATTAAGTGACCACACAATCATTTTTTAAGTGATTCAATGCTTATTAAGATCTCATTTAAGCTCAGTGATATGAACTAAAATGAATGCTTGAATARAAGTATCTTTTCCCTGTTGGAAAAATTACACTTTTATTCTGCTGACATATGCTTCTAAGTTTTGATCTCAAATAAGCCTGAATTCTACAAAAATGTCAGTTTCTTTACAGTCCACAACAGAACATGGCTCTTTTGGTATTTGCTTCTATGTGTGCCAAATTATTGTCATTTAAATTTCATTAATCATTGAGATACATTTAATCATGTCTTTATTACTGGACGAACACATATTGTCACCTTCAAAAAAAACCCTAATTATATTAGTCATACTAGAAGAACAATTGCATCATATTAAACAAATGTGTTTTAAGTCACTTGACTATGAAAAGATAAAATAATTCAGTGTTTGCTTAGTAAATATTGTTTTATGTGTTTATCTTTGAATTAACATTTGTAAGGTGTTTGCTTTCATAGCTATTTTTTCCCTAGCTCCTCTAAATGGATTTTTTATCATCTAGACTTCGTGCTTTCTGCATGCATTGTAAGCAGCTAAGAAATGCTGCATCTAATAATGGGTGGTGGTAACAGGTTCTGTGAGTAGAAAGGAGTGGTATGGTATTTTTCTGCAGGAGCATTTTTCTAAATGAAAATATGTGATGAAAGTTCTAGGAGAATACMTCTTCAAGGCACAGATGCTGGGAAGGCAGAAGAGTATCCTCAGATGATTTTACATGTTTCATATGCGGAGAGGGGAGGGGAGGGAATCCAAACCAGAAAGTGCTTCTGAAAATATTTGAATATCATTGTTCGTGTATGACCTCAGGTTTGCTCTTCATTCCTTCAAGTTCACATCCTGACTGTGAACTTCTGTGGGGAAGAGAAACAGATAATGATGTTTTCATGGTCTTAGGCTGGATGAGTTTTCTGGGAGGTGTCTGGTGCTAGTAAGAAGCATAAAAGCTTGACTAAAAGAGTTTGTAATTTGAGACCTTGAAAAGAATAGAGCAGGGTTTATCCCACAGGATCATGCACTGCCTTGTATCATTTTCTGATCTGAAAATACTCTGAAGTGGTGAAAGGAAAATCTAGATTAGAAGTATAGTATTGACTCCTATTGTGTGAGAAATTCTCRAGGTGCATTTGACCTCTTCCTATAAAATTTAATCGAAGTGAATGTGTGAACTYGCAAAAAACACATTAAAGTACAAAATACTTCAGCAGTGTTCRGGGCATTGAAATTCTTGACCTGAAAATTTGGATAATTCCTTTCTAGGAAGATGAAGGAGGTAAAGAAAAAACTATACCTCTTCTTCAGATCTCTATGGAAAATGAAATATTTTTTTTTTATTGATGAATTTAGAAGATGATGTGAATATTTCTGACTAGCAATTAATAACATGTGGTTACTATTATGSAACTGTGATTGCTGAATTTACTGGTTACATGCCAGGCCCTAAATTCTGGAATGTGAGATTTTTGTGTCTGTAACGTAAGTGAAGGGGATTATCCTAGCTAATGTCTCAGTAGAACTGTCAGCATGACACCAGGAAAGAGAACYAACACAGTCCTTGACTGCTGAAGAATGGTCAGACATGGACAGAAAGCAAATAATGCTGGTGGAACTGTTATTGGAATGTGCACATAGCTGGTTCATGAAGGTTAAAAATTGTTTTGGAATACTGGAAGAAAATCAAAGAAATCTCAAAGCATGAGAGACTGGAAAAGCAGACTTTGTCATATGAATGTTAAATAGCTGTGTCAACTTAGTTTGCCAAAGAAAAAATGGAGAARGAATGTGATCATTCACTAAAGAATATTTAGTGATGATGTTTAAGTTTTGCTGACCAACATGCCCAAGAGCTAGCAGCCAAAATTTTACATCTGAGAATTATTTAATCTTTCAAGGAATTACCATTATTGAGARCAATAAAACATTGGAAGATCTTACTGTAGACAAAACAGTAGGCAGTCTTGTAAAGGTGAGAAGTTTAAATTGCTTCAAAAACTGATAAATATTTTAAAAGCACAGACACCTGGTACATATGCTACATCATTGAGTTGGATTTAATAAATACATTGATATGTTTTTGACCTCAGACTCTTCTTCCTTCCTGGTCTTTTGAATGAAGAGAATTAGTAACATTTAATTTAAAATACTGATAACACTGCTTTTGTATGGGAATTATAGCTGAATCTCATCATCCAATGTAACACAAATTTCTCCTCAACACGTCAAAAGTTCTGTTCTGTCTTACACAAGTGATCAGACTTATGAAACAGGAAAAATTAACAAAAGTTAGCAGGATGGATTTTAAATGAGCCAGGTGGGGCATCTTGCTGTTCTTGCTGGTCTACACATGTGGGCACGGTGAGCAYCAGCCTGCAGACAGAGAGGGAGGGCTGGGGGCACCCCAGGAACAGTGGGCAGTGTGGGATCATCTTGGCATGTGTCCTGCTGTGCTCCATGAATATATTTGCTTGCAGATTCCAGTTTTGTGTTTGAGGTTTGGAAATGAGTTTTGTTTGAGTCAGGTTGACTCAGCCTTTCACAGTTCATAGGTGGGTGTCTGAAAAGCAATGCCTGTGGCAGGGTGATGGCTCACACCACATGGAAAGGGGAGGTGGGAGGTGTGTCAGGATTCAGGCCAGGTTTGTGACTCTGTGCATGTTCTGGCCCTGATGGATGGCTGCAGGCATTGGCCATCAGTTGATGCTGCTCCTCTTTGAACAGTGCAGAGAATTCTGAAGAAACAAGAAATTCTACACAGCACCTACARTTGTGTGCAGYTCACATATTGGTGTCAGGACAGAKTTGTTCTCTTCTGTTTTCAGCACATAAAATCAGCTAAAAAGAAATACCACAGTGAGGTCTGTACTGCCCCCACCCCAAACTTTTGCATTTTGTCGCCATCCTCATTTCATTTCCTCAGCTTTCATCTGTCTTTTGCACAACACTTAATTCTGATTAGATTAATGATTTTGAATTGGAGCAAGGCAGGATTTTCCARTTACATTTACCTTTGGTTTGCATTGTTGCTTTTGTGTCTTAACATCCTTAAGGTGCAAAATTTCAATATCAAAGCGTATCTGCAGATTTGTATCTGAAAGACTTGGAGATAATTTGGTTTAACTCAAGTTTTTAATAAGGCTTAGAGATAATTTGGTTTTACTSAAGTTTTTAATAAAATATTTTACATTTGCATTTTTACATTGTTGAGACCATTCTCACTAATTATCATTTTTGGATATATTCTTTCTCTCAACTCAGTGTTCAAAGTGGAGACTGATCAGTTAATTGTATCAAACTCTGTTTTATGCTGCCCAAGTTTTAACAAAACTCTTTCGACCTGTTATAACTGAAAGAATTTAATCTTTTACTTTGCTGTTAAYCAGATTATGATTAAGCTTTTTATGGAAATGAATATATTGAATAAGTCAATATTGAAAGCCATAAGCCATATTGAAAAAAAAAAATCATTAATTTTAAGCTCTAGTATAAGCATTTTCTTCTCCAGGTTTTCAGTGTTAGCGTTTTGTTTGTTTGTTTTTGTTGTGTTTTGTTTGTTGGTTTGTCTGTKTTTTGTTGATGGTTTGTTTTTTTGGGTTGAGGAGGGAAGGCTGAGTGTTTTCATGTTTGGTTGGGTTTTTTTTCAACCTGTGTGAATTGGTACAGGATTTCTGATTTTCATTTAAAATGAATGATTTTTTAAAGCATATAGATTGCTGATCTGGATATTTTTTCCTAATCCAAGCCCTGAATGCTCTGAAATCCAGTGCTCAACCATTTCAGAAATAAGAATAATCTTACTGAAATGGAGGAAGAGTATCCAGCTGCAGGTTTATTTTCTAAGTTCAGTGTGCATTAAGACAAAATAGATAATTGTTGGATAGGTTGTAAGGCTGCATTGCAGCTGTGAAGGATTGTTAAAACTTTRTAAGCAGGGGAACCCTCACATGTGTTGGATGATCAGGCTGTGTTTCGGAGGAGAGATATTATGGGGTTTTGGTAATACTGAAATAACCCAGTCAGTCCTAGTGCTGCTCCTAGTGAACCTTTCCAACTTTACCTTACAACTTCATCAGTCACTTCAATTCACTGCCCAGCTGCAAACTCTTTTTTTTGACAGCTGTCATAATGAAAGAAATTAATCTAAATTCTAAGAATATTTGTCTTTTTTTTTTCTGTCCTTTGCCTTTCAGTCCACCTGGAGAACCAGTTTGGGCAGTTGGCACTGATGGCCTGTRGAGAACATTTCCCCATAGTCATTGAAAACCCCATAAATTCTGCTACATATAGAAACATTTCCACAGCCCTCTCCTGAAATTAATCCAGTAAAGAAATTTCAGATTTGTGAGGCATCATTCTTTTTCTATCATTTTAGAAAATCATTCTGTTTTGAACTGCATGATGTAAAGGAGGGGGATGTTGGAGACTTGTCACCTTTGGCTCTCCTTCTACCAATGCAAATTTCAGGTTGCATTTCACCCTGSAAAAGATCATCAACTCTATTGAAAGAGATCAGCTAGAAACTAGTTCAGGGGAAAAGGGAAAAAGCATGCTCTGTGACCATAGTCTGCTCAGGAATTTATTAATTTTTCTCTTATGAAAGTATTAACATATTTTATTTCATTTTGTCTTGTCTAGACCAGCCTGTGGCAGTCTAATAAATCACAAAACCAAAGAAACAAATCTGKAAGAGTGGAGGTGGTACAGGATGCAGAAGTGTGTTTTCAAATATATATTTTACTTTAAAAACAATTCTAACATGTATTTGAATAGTTCTGTGGGGTTAACTCTRTTAGTGACATCCAGACAGCACAAGCTGGATCACACTCTTGTTCATCCGTATCTGACAGCTTTTCC